GACCAGGGACATTCTTATTAGCTGATTAGCACAGAAGGACTGCGGAACTCTCTAACTAAGAGAAGCCCAGTGTCTTAGGGATTGTCTGGTTACAAGTTCCAGGAACCCCCTCAAGTCAACTTAATAAAATTGATTTATTGGGAGGAGATAAGGGCAGCCCTCATGGAGCTCGGTGGCAGAGGCACAGCTGGGCTTTGGGAACAGCAGGGACAGGCCAGGAGAGTGTGAGGAACTGGGGTGAACTTTTCCTGTTTCTCTGGGGCTTGTCCACAGACTCCCATCACAGCCCTCTTCGCCTCGGCAGGCAGGCTCTGGCTACTTTTCCAAACACATATGCCAAATACGGCGGCCAGTGAGTCAGGGGGCCCGTGTCCACAGTCTTGGTGGGGGGAGTGGGAGTTCGACTGGCAACAGCTTGGGTCAGGTGTCACCCCAACTCAGTCTGCTCTGCCCATGGGGTTGAGGCCACATGGGACCAACACAGCACTGGCCCAAGGTCATGACTCAGTTATATGTTATTATTATAAACAGGATGTAGGGCCCACCCCTAAGGGGAGAGGACGGGGCACATCTCCAGAAGAAGTCAGCTACACCGGGCCAAGGAGTCTTCTGCTTAATTTGGCTGGGAGCCTGGAGTGTTGAAGGGCTCCGGGGCAGGAGAGTGGCACTGGGGCCTGTGTTGACAGCAGGCTTGTGGTGGGATCTATATGCTGGGCAAGGAGCTCCTGGTGCCAAGTTCATCCTAAGGGAACAGTGACTTGCGGACAATGGGATTCATTCCTACTCCCTTGGCACTGGAGTCCGTTGGGACTCTGTGGTTTAATGACTCAAGAAAAGGGAGATTTGCCATCTGTTTTCCACTCTGTGTGGACTTGCTGGGAACTTGGATAAGTCACTGAACCTCTCTGGGGTTCTCTTAATTCCAATTTTTTTAATTAAAAAGAATATAAATATACACATACACATTACATATATATTTTCGTCATTATTTTAGCTTATTATTCTTGGGTTTCTCTTTGCTAGCCTGAAAAGATGCCGAAGGTACATGGGGGAGGGGCTTGGAAAGCAGGCTGGGAGGCTGGAGGATTATAAATCGCTTGTGGCCAGAAAGAGAGCGGTTTCATCTCCTTCTCAGGGAGGAGAAATGCTTGCTGCGTGTGAAAAGTGACATATGTGCTTTGAAACGATAAAGCTGGAGGCCTGGGAGGCAAAAGGCGTACAGACGTGCATGATGGCTCAGATCTCCTTTGGGGGTGGGGGGGCCAGGGAGCAGAGTTGGAAGGGCCCATTTTGTGGACTTGGCATGAGGAAGGTGGCTTTTTTTGATAGAAAAGGCTCTTGGAAGCCCTGCTGCTAAAAACTGCTGTTTTCTTCAGGAGTTTTTAATAAGCACCTCCCACCTGGCTGTGCCCAGAGGCAAGCATTTGGTGGGAATGATGGCACCATCTTCCTGCAGGTGATTCTGTTCGCATCTAAACTGATCCAAGCATACTCTTGCAGGGAAGAAGCAGAGAACAAAACACACAGCCATTTCCTGGGTAGGGAGAGAGGTGCAGAGGGGCTTCCCCAGCTCGCATCCATCCTGGAGAGGACAGGAGGTGAGCAAGTCGGGCCCTCGGCCCAGCCCGGGCCTCCGGGAGGGAAGCAGCGAAGCCTCTCAGAGGAGGGGGCGCAGGCCTGCTGCGTGGAACCCGCTTCCAGCTTTCAGCTCCTTTACGCAAAGGAGTCGTTTATGACAGTCCGTCACTGCAGGCTGATAGGGCTGATAGCTTTTGGCAGAGGTCCTTTCTACTTCTCGCAAATTAAGTCACAGAGAAAGACACCAGCAGAGATTGCAAAGAAAGGGTTCAAGGCCACTGCACGGGGGTGAACAGCTGTCAGAGACCCAGTGCTCCCCAGACTTCAAACATCCACGAATGCTAACGAGGCAGGCCTCTCCGACGATATGCTGGGATGTGGACAACTAAGAATGCTGCCTAGGACGAAAGTCACAACTCACAATCACAAATAATAATAATAGTAAAGAAATAAAATGGCAACAACCAGCGTGCACAGAGAGCTTTCCAGTCCACACGCGCTTTTTTATTTCACCACAAACCCTCTGGTCCTAGGAGATGGGCTGGCCAACTGTTGTCTCCCTTTCACAAGTAAAGAAACCAAGGCTAAATGCTATGTCAGCCTGCCCACGGTACCAGCCGGGACTCAACCCAGGGTCCTCGTGCCTCCACCGCCCTCTCCTGATGCCAGGTGCCCCTGTGAGCTGGGTGCAGGGCCGGGCTCGAAGCTGTGGGCAGAGTTGGTCAGCCAGAAACTCTGAGGAGTGGCCCCAGAAAGAGCCCAGGGCTTTCATTTAAGCTCCTCCCCCAACACAAGGTACTATGTGTCCATCGTTTGAAAAAAACGGATAGAAACATAGCATAGAAATAATAACCCACCACTCAGAGATAAGCATTTTTAACATTTTAGTGCATCAGGAAATCCTTGCAGACACTTTTCCTTCATTTTGACATCTTTCCTCACAAAAATGGAATTCTGTTTCTCCTTTGTTTTGTAATTCTCCTTCCATATACTGTGACTCTTTCCGTGTCAACTATACTTTTACAGTGTTTTACTCATTTCCTTAGCAATGTTACATATGTATTTTTTATGATTACAGAAATGATCATAAAATTATATGCTCATTGTAAAAATATTCCAATTCAAACCGTACAGAAATGCCCAGCAAAGGAAGCAAACATTTGACTTAATCCCACCCTTGGGACATTGGTAGTGTTGATACATCTCATATTTCCCATTCATACTTTTCCATGCACAGATGATGCCATAAACGTATGTGAATAAATACACATTTTTCTCTGCAAAGTGGGCTCACAGACCTTTGTGCAGTTTGCTCTTTCCTCTCCTCTGGTGTGGACTGCTTTTCATCTCAGTTCCTGGGTTTCTAAGGCATCTTCGTTCCCATTCTGGGGACAGAAAACCCCGAGGAGGCTGGGGAAGGGACAATAGTGAGTGACAGCCACCCAGGGCTGGTTTCAGCGTTCGGGTTAGCAACCTCCTAGAGGAGGAAGCCTGCGGCTCAGGTGGCAGTCTGCCACTTGTCCCCGGGATGCAGGTGAGCGAGCCACTGGAGAAGAGGATTCCCGCGGCAGCCCACAGCCCCACGCCCCCTCATGGAATGCTCTGTGTCTCCCCCCAGGTGTGTATGTCCTCACGACTGCCCTGATCCCTGTGCTGGAGAAAGAACACAACCCCAGAGTGGTGAGTGGACTTTGGGGATTTTTTTAAGTAAACGACTTTGTTCCTGATGGGCAATCAGTGGTCCTACATTGGCTGCCCCAGCTGTCCTGAGGGGGCCATGCTGTCCACATCCACAGGGAGAGCCAAACTCTGTGCACTCGTCCTGCTGTTTAATAAGCTGAGCCCCAGCGGTGCGCCAGCCCAGACAGCATCCAGGTGGGTGGGTCTTGGGAGGAGCCCAAGCAGTGGGGAGAGACCCAGTCAAGCTGAGGGTCAGCCTGGGGCTTCGTCCCAAGGATGCCCGGACTTGGGGAGCTTGTGAGGCCTGACCTGGGATTCCAGAATGCTCGTTCTGGCAGCAGATACTTCCTGGAAGCCGGCTGTAAATCCTGCCTCCCCCTGCTCTCCGGGGCCCCTCCACCTCCCCTGCTCCTGTCTCGTTGTGGCTGGGTGGCTGCCGCCCACACCTGGCCCACCAAGTCCCTCTGAAGAGGGAGGCAGAGCCCTGCAAAGAGTCGTGTCGAAGATCCCAGTCCTCGCTGAAGCCTTTTCCCGGGTGTCATCTTAGAGTCAACAAAGCTTCTGAAGCAGGGGCAGCTGCGGGAGGCAGGCAGGCTGGGCTGGGCGGGTGCACTTCCTCAAGAACCTGCCGCTCAAATGGGAGGGGGCAGGTGAGCGGAGTTATGGCTAATAGAATAAAATGACAGAAATCAGAAAAATCAGGAAAAAGGCAGTTTACACTGGCCACCTTCTCTCTGCTGTGGTGACCTCCCCTGCCCCAGATGTCCAGGTCCTAATTCCTGGCACCTGTGAATATGGCAAAAGGGGACTTTGCAGAGGTGATTAAGGGTATTGAGAGGCAGAGGGTATCGTGGGCTATCCAAGTGGCCCATGTAGTCACAGGGGTCCTAAGAAGAGGGCCAGAGTCAGTGAAGGAGACGTGACAATGGGGGCAGAGGTGGTCAGGTGGTGCAGCCACAAACCAAGGCTTGCAAGCGGCTTCTAGAAGCTGGGGAAGGCAAGGAACAGATTCCCCCAAAAACTGCCAGAAGGAACGCAGCTCTGCTAACACCTTGATTTTAGCCCCATAAGACCCATTTCAGACTCTGACTTCAGTGCTGTGAGAGAATTTGCGATTTTATAAGCCACTAAGTTTGCGGTCATTTGTTGCAGCAGCAACAAGAAACCAATATACTGCTTGAAGAGGAAGAGGAACGCGGAGGTATCACAAACTTTTCTTTACAAATCTCTATTATGTTTATCACAGATAACAGTCTCCTCTGGAGGAATGTTGGTTCAGAAACTGAATACCAACGACCTACAGTCAGAAAGGACAGCTTTCAGTGGAACTATGGTCTATGCACAAAACAAAGTGAGTGGGGGGTTTTCTCAAGACTGCCACGTGGGTGCACATTAATTTGGATCCTAATAATTCACAGCAGCACCCGAATGTCCCCAGGTGGGGAGAGAGCAGCTCTGCTCAGACTGGGGGGAGGGGGTGGAGTGGGGGTCTGGGGCGGGGGTTCACCTTGCCTCTAGGAGGAGCCACAAAAGCTGCCACCTCTCTTCCTGGGTTTCTCAGACCCACAAGGAGAATGTGCGAGTGGGTGAGCACAAAGCAGGGGTCCGGCAGAGGTTCCTTGCCCTGCATGGCTCCGAGGGAGTAGGGACCGCGGGAGGTCACTCCCTTCCCTGGGCAGCCCTGCTCACTGGCTGGACAGATGCCACCAGAACAACTCTGGGTTCCGGGCTCCCTTTGACGGACATGTGCATTCGATTCTGAAGACATGAAAGGGCAGGGGTCTGGATCTCATGTATGATGTTAAGAGAAAGTGTAGTCGCACTGCCATATCTCAGTTTATCACAGCTGTTTTAAAAGCCGGCTGTACACCGTCTGCATTTACAGTTCGTGCCCTTAAATTCACCTGGTT